TTACCACGACTCATCCACTATGTCTCTTCGTCGAGATCCTCACGTGCCTAGCTTCGACTACAGGCATTGAACTGGACGTGAGTCATATTCCAGGAGCAGACAATGTTATTGCGGATGATCTGAGCCGATGGGATTTTTCTACTCCCATACCACATGATTTTCAACCAGGTGAAAGAATTCATCTTTCACTCAGCCAACTCTGGCGCTGTTCACCTCAACCCACTTTACATCCACCGGACTCCAAACTCCTGTGGAAACTCTCACGTCATTTCCATTAGTAATCTGCTGGAATGGTTCTCACTCTCTTGTTTGGGGGGTGTCTTGGCGATAAACATTGTACCAGATAGTTTTAACTTGGGTTGTTGATGCCATCTGGTCAAATGGTTCGATTGAAGTATGGTCGAACCCAACCTGGTTCAACGGTGAGACACACCATCCAGCAGATGAAAAGGGAGTGCTTTCTGAGATCTGAAACGAGACAAGGTTAAACGGGAGGATCGAAAGCGTTTGTTGTTTTTGCGTTTTAATTTGTTTGTCTGCGGTATCTTGATTTTATCTCGTTAACAAATGAAAGTCCTTGAAGAACGTTTAATGTACTTGTTCATTGTGTTTTGCAAGGATCTTCTTTGTATACCCAATTCCATTTTGGCTCAAGGACTTTCATTTGTGCGTTGCATTTTTTGTTTCCCTCCCTCCCACACCTTGTTCTCAATTTTATTTCTGGGTCTTTTGACCTTCCGATCTCAGTGTTTCACCTGGCTTTCACCACTTTCGACTCGCATGATGCTCCTCTTTCGGGACTTCGAGTCATTGGCTTATGTTTTGCGTTGGCGTTTCTGTTTGATCGTTATTTTCTAGTCACTAGTCGACGTTCTGCTTTGATATGCTTCGTCTTCAATGCGTTGGTGACTTTTATGTCACTCTTTGCATTTCTGCACAGCTGGCGATACTGCACAATCGTGCATTAACTCTATTCAATCGACCCGAATGGGTTGTTGATGCCATCTGGTCAAATGGTTCGATTGAAGTATGGTCGAACCCAACCTGGTTCAACGGTGAGACACACCATCCAGCAGATGAAAAGGGAGTGCTTTCTGAGATCTGGAACGAGACAAGGTTAAACGGGAGGATCGAAAGCGTTTGTTGATTTTGCGTTTTAATTTGTTTGTCTGCGGTATCTTGATTTTATCTCGTTAACAAATGAAAGTCCTTGAAGAACACCAGAGTATGAGCGCTCACGAGATCATCTCAGCGATCTCAGCACCCCCTGAACGCCTGCCTGGAGGACTTGGCATCCTGAGTGTGGAGATGCCCCTCGAAGATGAAGATGGCGTGCAAAAGACACGGCTTCAGGACACGCTAATGGGGGTCCTGGAACGCATGCTCTGTCCAAAGCACACGCCCCTCAATTGAAGATGGGTTTGCAGAGGTGGCCGTTGAGCTTCCGGAGGACCTCGACGGCCATATTCTCGGAGTGCTTACTGCCCTGTTGCTTGCAGCATCCTCAGGCCGCCTTGACTTGTCAATTGCAGGACTGACTATTCGGTGCTGGTAAGAGCAGAGCAGCAGCCGCAGCTGTAGTGCTGATTGGCATGCTCATTGTCAATCCCAGTGTTCGTATTTGTTTGCAAGGAGAATTCAGCAGCACGTTCATTTGTTCAGCCCATTGACATCCGGCAGTGTGCAGTTTCCCCTTGACATCTGGCCAAATGCACGCAACAAAGAAGTGCCTAAGAATTGGCACTCGTGGCGTTTTCGGAGGTGAGTTCCGGATGGGTTGGTCGGGACTGATGCAATGGGCTGACCAACTGACGATAGCCTTCGTGGAGGAAGCACACAGCAATATGGCACGGTCAGTGAAATTCTCGTCGTGGTCTGTACACTACACATGGCACTGCTGGTGTTTGGTGGAGACAGATGTGAAACTCCGGGGGCATCAATAAGAACCCCATTGGAGCTGTTCTAGCTCGTCAAAAGCTCTGAACACGCCAACATGGTCTCCGGCTTGTGTCCCACCAATTCTTGCCCACCCAACTGGTTGGTAAAATCATCAATTTTTATGGTCAGCCAGCATATTGATCGACGCATTGCGAGTTGGCTCAGACACACATGGTTCTCTACAGGTCGAAACTCAACCACCAGTGCTTGACAAGCTGTCTCAGTCTTTCCCACAGCTCATTTGTTTGCGCGCGGACAAAGGACCAAGATCCACAGATGCACCTAAATTGGGACAGCAGCGTTGTAAGGGCGGCAGCTGGCCTGCCGCAAAAACGGGCGCGACGAGGGTAAAAGCGCAGGGGGGTTTTTGAAGCCGTGGAGAAAGGTGCCACCCGCCAGTTTCGAAACGGCATGGAAAACCATTTTGGCAACAAAATGGGGTGCGGCAAAGGGTAAAGCGCAGAGGGATGAGGGGACACCCTGGAGAAAGATGCTATTTGGCAGTCTCGAAACGCCAAAGAAGCATCATGTAGCAAACCGGCAGTTCCGAACCGCCATAGAAACACCATTTGGCAAGAGACGTGGCCAGGAAAACGCGAAGGGTGGAAGCTGCAGGAGCTTAGGCAACAGGCATGGCCAGGAACGTGGAAAAAGGGGCGTGCAAAGGTGAAAGCGCAGGGGGGATTTTGAAGCCGTGCAGAAAGATGCCGGCAGGTTCGAAACGCCATAGAAACACCATGTGGCAAGAGACGTGGCCAGGAAAACGGCAAAAGGTGGACCATCCGGCAGTTTCCAACTGCCACCATTTGGCCAGAGATGTCGCCAGGAAAACGTGATCCCGGGCGCCGCCCCGCCTAGACCAAGGCTAGGCCGGGGTCGGCGGACAATTTGGGTTTTCAACATCTATGTCACAGCTTACCAGAACGTCGGTAACATCAACCATTTTCAACATTTTTGTTACCTATCTGTGTGCCATTTGGTAAACTGCTACATATATCTTGAAATTAACGCCGATTTAGTAAGTGATGATTTTCCAAAACCCAGCCGGGAATTTTCGCAAAGATAGCATCTATGAACAACATTATTGGATTTGCAAATTGTGTCCATGATTACCAAAATAAATATGCTATCCACTCGATAACTATGGTTACTGGGCTATCTACAAGTGGGTAAACAAGTTGTCGATTTGGGCGGTAACTATTTTACCAATGGATAACATCTATGGAAACACATAACCATGGTATAGATGCAACATCCATGGGTTTTACTCAGATCAACACCAATGCTATCTATGGAATTTGTTTAACACATCTTGTGGAGTGCGTTGGCTTCTTTATTTGCCATTTCTGTAAAATCCAAAAACTATTTCTTGCACACGTAGAAACCATTTGCTAAATTCTAGAGACCATTTGCTAAATATTTGAAATTTGTGCTAAATACTAAAAACTATTTGCTAAATTGTGGAAATCATTTGCTAAATGCTAGAAACCATTTGTGTCTGGCGCGGACGCTGGCAGTGCTAAAGATGAATGAGGATCGATACACCTCTTTACACTAAAGGTCACTTAATACTTTATATTGAACATTTGGAGAAAAACAGTTCCTGGTGGTGAGCGTGCGCAAACAGAATGTGGTCGTAACCCAGTTACATGGTTACATGTGCGATATGTACAAACATGATTAGTATACAATATATGTATATATATATATATGTATATATTTTTAATATCCCGACAACATCCCAAACTGGTAACAAACTGGATGTGCAAACTGCAGCCGCCCAGCTCACCGCGGCGCTGGGCGCCAGGGCCGAGTCCTGGAGCGCCACCGAGGCGGTGGATTTCCATTGCCATGTTAAATCACTAGATGGGCATGGATAAAAATTAACATTATTAAACCGACAATTGGCTGGTCTATTTCTAAAAATTGTCACTTGTGACTTGTGTTGGTTAAGTTATTGGGACCATTACTATTTTGTGCCTTACCCACAAGTAAATCCATTGCCTACTGCATGTGATTCAGGATTCAAGGCCTGATCTGGTTTGATCCACTGCCCCTACCAGAATGGTCCGATGGACCCCCAAGTTGTGTATCATCGAAAACTGGAAACAGTTTCTTGTTGGACCGCTGAGGGATCATCTGGATTGGTTCCCATCAGGTGGTGTTTGTCACTTGCCATTGGTTCCTGGTGGTTCCTGGTGGTTCCTGGTGGTTCCTGGTGGTTCCTCATAGCCCAGACTAGGGGGGTTTTGTTGGTCAACTATCTGGTGTATGGTTTAGGTGGAAAGACTTGGCACGACATATTCTGGGATGGCCACCCATCACATGGGTATGTCAAATGGTTGACTGCGTTAAAATGCATAGTTTACCAACAACACTGATCAATTTTGTGTGCAATCTCATCACAAGTGGGTCAGATCCCAGTTTATTCTTAAGTTTTTAATTAGTAATCCAAAGAACTACTTACTCCATCTTAGACCATCTTAGACCCAATGATGTAGCGAGTCGATGAGCCAATATTGAGCATGATTCACGTGTGGCTATGTGTCAAGTTATTGGTATTCCACAAAAGTTGTTGATGGTTTAGAACCTCATCCCAAACTTAAATAGGCGATATATAACTTGGGGTTACCTGACCATTTTTTTCGCTGTTGAACATTGTTGTATACATGGGGTATGTCTAGACTCAAAACTGGGAACTCCAAGAATTGCTGGCTCATCATGGGATTCTTGGATTGGTGGCAATGGCCACGCCGAATAATTCTGGAATTCTTGTGAGGACATGCTCATTAGTTAGCCTTCAACAAAAGTGTTGCAACAACCTGATTGTAGCTTGACTAGTGACGTTTCTGACAGAGTGATTTTCAAACGGTGTGCCTTGCCTCTTTTTCATTCTTTTTCTGTGTTGAGACCTTTCTTTGCTCAAAGTGTGAAAACCAGTGCAAAAAACCATGGCGATGACACGTTTCGGAGCGCTTGTCATGACTCAAGTGATGCTCACCGAGTCAGCATGCGAACTTGGTGCATGTGAAACGGATGCTGTGAATTTGCTTTCCGTGCAGGTGAACTCTCGACACCATCGTGAAACCAACGCTAGTTCTTCGATTTGCAAAGTCGCTTTGGAGGAACATGTTGGCTTCAAAAGTATTTGGAACTTCTCCAATGGAGAACCACCAGTGGAGTGGTGGCAAAACAAAGAAGCTTTGGAGGACCTTGAGGATGGACATATTGATGAGACCAGGGTGAAGATTGCGAAAAAATATGGTGTTGACTTCATGATTCTTTCCATCACAGGTAGCACCCAGGATATGAAGGACACCTTCAACGGCGTTTCGGTGGCTCAATTCTTTCAATGGAATCGCAACTTTCTGACCAAAGTGCGCAACTGGTGGTTGGTTTTGAGCATGTTCTTTTGATTTTCCTGCCTATTTGAGATTATTCACCAATTTGACAACATTTGACTATGACGGAAAGTGATGTGTGCTCCATCTGCACCAGGCAAAGCCAACGCTGAAGGAAGCCACACCTGGCAGGTTTCTGCCTCTTGCCCTTGTGGGATCCGCAGGCAGTTTCAAGCTGCCACATTCGATGCATTTATGGTATGTCCCAAAATTGGGTACCCTAAAGATTGATAGTTTATCATCATTTTCCCCTATTAAAAGCACGGACAAGATGGGGTATCCCAATATTGAGACATCCCCTAATATTGTGCTTTTATTTATGTATTTTGTAGAAATGGAAGAACCACTTTCCACATTCCTTTCGGTCTTCACCCTCAGTGGTTTCATCGTGTTTGACGCAATCATGTCTCGATAGTTGGGCACCTACAAACACCAGTTTTACGACACGATTGAGGAACCAATTATTGGAACATTGAAACCAATTGTGGATGTGTTATTTCTAAACAGTGTTATAAGTTATAATTACAATAATATTTCTAGATATTTCTGTAGAAAACTGAAATGACTGACAGGATGTAGCACAGATATATCTCAGTCGGATAGGCGCCCACACCTTGGAGGGAGCCAGGGTCTACCACCAGGTTATAACCCATGAAACATGATTTTCATGGAGAAAAATGATGATAAACCCAGGAGTTGTTGGGGGTACCCAATTTTTCAGACATACCAAAATTGAATCCATATGACTGATATGATATGTATCTGACCCTGCAAGAAACAACAAGAATCAAGATGAATAAAGTGCAGGGATGCACAGTTTCACACCCAAGTTGTTTACTGCTGTCAGGCATCAATCTTGCAGTTTAAAGAGTGCTTGCAATATGGAGCGGTCGGTGCTTTGATTAATGGCTACGACACCTCCAACACTGGTGGAGATTTCAACTACTACATTACCAAGGACCGCGATGATGTTGAAGTAATCAAGCTTCACAAGATGATTCCGCAGGTTGCTTTTAATAATGGTGTCAGAGTCTAAAACTAAACCCTAGTTACAGTGGCATAACGCAGTGTACCCAATAGGTCAGAGAATTTTCCAAGGCAGGTAGATGTTCTCATGCACAGGATCTAGGAACATGTGCGCGGCAAAAGAAGAAACTTGCCTATCCGTGCTTCACGGTCCATTTGCAGGAATATTATGAGTTCTGGGACTTTGTGGAGAAATCTGGCAAACCCATCTACTTACATCCTCGTGAGGCTGAGCCAAGTCGATTCTTTAAGCAGTTTCCAGAGATGCGTGTCTCACCATGGGGCTTTCATGTGGAAACCGCTGAGCATGCTCTGCGCTTCATTCTCTCCGGCTTCTTTGACCGGTTTCCGAAGGTCAAGTTGATTTTAGGTCATGATGGTGAGATTTTGATATGGATGGCATGGTACTGCTGGCATGTTTGTTCTGCAATTCAACTTGTATGGACTTGTGAATTTTTCAGGTGGTGACTACCCAATGGTAAACTAACAGTTTGCAATGGAAAACCCCATAGTTTTAATCTACAAACTACATATATATATATATATTATATATATATATATAATATAGCAGTTTACCATCTGCTAATCCTCAGAACATGCTCTTTTCCAGGGCATCACAGGTTCCAGATGGTTCCAGCACAGCCAGGCGTATAGACCACCGCTTAAAGAAGCAGGGCTGGACGCCAGAGTCGCTCTCATGCCATACCGGACCAAACATGGAATTGTCTCCTTGTCCGGAGAATGGCTTGTACAAGCGCAAGCACAATGTCACTTATTATTTGAAGAATAACTTTCACATCACCACCAGTGGCATGTTTGACACGCCTGGCTTCCGACACGCCCTATCTGTGATGGGGCCTGAGCGGGTCATGTTTTCCATCGATACTGCCTATGAAGACATCTCAGATGGAGCGGGCTGGTTCAACAGTTTGTCTGAAACTGTGGCGTTGCCGCAGAAAGACTGGGAGAGTATTGCCTTTCGCAATGCAGCAAAACTTTTTGACTTATCTGTACGTGGCATGTGATATCAGCGATATCGGCGATTCACAGAGGCATTGGCCATGAGAATTTCCCACTGCGACTGGCTGGACACCTCAGCTCAGTTGCCGGGCACAACAATGCATCAACAAAGAGTGATGCGCAGAAATGACATGAAATGACAAAGGATCAGAAACAGCAAAGCGACACATGACTGGTGATCGCTGTAATGGGTGAGAACTAACAACTCCAATGGATAGTCAACTTTTGCATCTCATCAGTGTCATGTTTTTGACAGAAAGAAAAAGGGCCATGTGGATATTCTCGAGTGAAAGTCTTCCTCTTCCGTGAAATATCCATTGTTTTCATCTACTCCAGTGCGGATATGAACCCCTATTTTTTGTCCAAATATGTTTTTATTTCGCTTTCTGTTGAAGATACCCTCTTTTAAGATCTTTGAAGAAACCCTAGAAGATTCTCATTGATATTATTATAGTTGTATTGGTGGATGGAGACACGGCCGACATCCTAATCATTCTTCCCCACGGCCTTGGATCGGCCTAAGCCATGTAGCTGCTACGCCGCTACGCGTCATGGCAAAAGACGCCCTGCGTTGCTTCTGCAAATACCTTACTAAGTTTTGTATTTGTCAATACCTTTAAGTATGTGCATAAGTATGTGCATTTATTTGTCTCTGCACCAAAAGTGAAGAGTCTGAAGAGTCTTCGTTCATATTGTTTGAGATCTAGATGCGTCCTTGGGGTTCGTGCTGAAAAATGCGAGTCTATTGACGTCTTGCAACTCCCGGGGTCAGTTCACAGCCAGGATATGGTTGCAGCATGAGCTTGCGGAGAACATTTGAGTTCGAAATACATCAGCACTCATCTTGTTGTCCCGCAGTCAAGACTTGTACTTCTTGGAAAATGCAACGCATCCTTGATCCGCATTGCGGTAACAAGCCGCGAGAGTTCCCTTGCAATGCTGGGAGATGAAAGGAGCTGTGCCCCGGTGGACAAGCTGAAAAATAGGAAGGTGACTCTCCTTGGTTTTCAACTTTTATGTTGCTGCCATTTCTGCTGACATCACATGGTGTGAAGGTGGTCCAGAGACATTTTCAAGACTGAGAGATGCCATGAGTTTGTATCCCATCAGTACGTGCCAATCACAAAGAACACATGTTAAAATTTAGTTAAAACATGTTTTCAAAGAGATTTTGAAGAACATTTGGCCCGGAGTTCCGAGGGCCCCTCGCAAGCACCATGGCGTTGATGTGGCTGTTGGCGGTGCTGATGGTACCCAGTTCCCAAGGCGAGCAGTGTTGCCGCGCCTTCCAAAATGCAACCGAGCTGCGCGAAGCTGTCCGCGCTTGGGACAATCAGTTGGCAGATCCATCTGACACTTGGCAGCTTCGGTTGTGAATTGTGGCGATTTTGAGAGATCATTTGGCATTTGGGATGTTGGAGGGATTTGGAATGTCCGAAATCGGTCTCTTGACTGAATCACGACATAGTAGCACTACGTTTAAACTTTGCACTTTTCACCCATATACCTTCTATAGACATTCGGAGACAATGATCGAAACCCTGGCTGAAGGTTATGGTTTGTGGGGTCGGTATAGTCATATGTCCCGTTGGTCCTTGCTGGCCTCTCAAGCCCACACAGCACAAATTCAGGAAAAGTTGCGGGTGATCTCCACCTACGGAGAAATCGCCAACTGGGATGTTTCAAACGTGACGAACATGTCGAGGTTGTTTGCTGAAATGAGAGCCTTTAACGAGCCCATTGGCTCGTGGAACACCTCGGCAGTGACCGACATGCAGTCCATGTTCTACTGGGCCAGGGAGTTCAATCAGCCCATTGGCTCCTGGGACACCTCGGCAGTGACCGACATGCAGTCCATGTTCGAGGAGGCCTGGGACTTCAATCAGCCCATTGGCTCCTGGGACACCTCGGCAGTGACAGACATGCGGTCCATGTTCGAGAAGGCCAGGGAGTTCAATCAGCCCATTGGCTCCTGGGACACCTCGGCAGTGACAGCCATGGAGTCCAACTACTCCCGTCCCGAGCCTTTTGACATGGGCCAGAACAATTTGGATCCTCACATTGCTCGTGGGGAGGGCGTGACTGCCCTTCCTGTGGTGTAGAGGGTCCGGGTGTGGGCGGCTTAACCCCGGGCCAATTTGGCCGTGCCAGGTTGTCGCCAGAAACCACAAACCAGCCATGGAGTCCATGTTCTACTATACCAGAAGGTTCAATCAGCCCATTGGCTCGTGGAACACCTCGGCAGTGACAAACATGCGGTTCATGTTCTACGCGGCCGAGAAGTTCAATCAGCCCATTGGCTCCTGGAACACCTCGGCAGTGACAGACATGCAGTTCATGTTCTACGGGGCCAGGGAGTTCAATCAGCCCATTGGCTCCTGGAACACCTCGGCAGTGAGAGACATGCAGTGCATGTTCACTGGGCCAGGGAGTTCAATCAGCCCATTGGCTCCTGGGACACCTCGGCAGTGACAGACATGCACATGATGTTCAGCACGGCCGAGAAGTTCAATCAGCCCATTGGCTCCTGGAACACCTCGGCAGTGAGAGACATGCAGTACATGTTCAACTGGGCCAGGGAGTTCAATCAGCCCATTGGCTCCTGGGACACCTCGGCAGTGACAGACATGCACATGATGTTCAGCAGGGCCGAGAAGTTCAATCAGCCCATTGGCTCCTGGAACACCTCGGCAGTGAGAGACATGCAGTACATGTTCAGCGGGGCTATCTCCTTTGACACTTCGATTGGCTTGTGGGACATTTCTTCCTTGGAACGTTTCTCAGCCAAGTGGGTGAAGTGGGCGGGGATACATTTTTTGGACTTTGCTTGGTGCCTCACACTTTTGTGCTGCACATGTTTCCCATGTTTTGCCGATGTTGCCTCTGGCTCCCACAGCCTGAGGTCATGATGGAATGTTCGATACGCTGAAGCCTCCATGCCAACCCGGGAGAGGTCCCGGCCGCAACAATCTGATGTGTGAACGATGCGACGTCGGAAAATTTGCGCCAGCTCAAAGCTTCTGTCAAGAGTGCCCCGAAGGTTGGGATGGCAGAAAGTTGGGATGGCAGTCGGTTGGTAGCATATGGCTGAAACATGCTGAAACTAGTTAAGGCGGGGAGACCGTCGAGACCATGAAACTGTTCATGGTGTTGGTGTTAGCCGATTTGAGCATGGTACTATTGCTAGCCTTGCTAGCTTAGCTTTGTTCTTCCATGCCTCAGGTTCAACTCCTTCCGAGGAGCGGAGCACGTGCGAAGAGTGCCTGGGGTCGCACTACTCTATGAGCGGCGTCGATGGCTGCTTCCCCTGCAACTTGCCATTGGTGTTGGTGGACAACAAGTGCGTGTCTGGGCAATGAGACCAAGCAATGACATTGTGTTTTTAACAGCCCGTTTTAGATATATATATATATGTGAGAGGATCCAACTCCCTCTCAGCACTGGCAGCTACCACAAAAGTCCTTGTCCCCAAGGTGATCAACAAAGAAAGGAATCCAAAATGATGTAGAGGTTGTCCACAACCTAATAGTCCAAACCAAAGTGGGTTAAGCACCGATCCCACACCAATTGCGGCCCACGCGCAAGTCTTTTCCCTTGAGTCCTGATGGTTGGCCCTTGAGCCAAGTTCGGCACGAAGATCGTGAACGTTTGTTCACTGCATCTGATAACCCCCGCAGACATGGATAATCGAATGGTCACCTAATGCAGTTTCCTGGAAATCACACTGGTCTCTATCTTAAAATTCGATTATGTAACCATGTTACCCCAAACTTCCTATCGGCGTTTTGCCGTAAGGTCATATCTTCATCATAGATACGGAATTTTCCCAATTGCATGACTTTTCTAAGGAAAGTAGCATCCATGGTTTTGGTCAAGCAGTCCGCTAGCATGATGGCTGTGGATATCCATCGACAGGCAGTATGGTCCCGTGACTGCTCTTTCAGAAGCATCACCTCTATAGTAGTCCTCCATTCTTGGCAATTGGGGACAGCTGTCTTGGTTATTAGATCATACAAAGATTTACAATCCGTGATCATGAGTCCTTGGTGCTCCTGTTTAAGCGATGTCTCCGGATGAGACCAAACAAAGTAGGGATTCTTTATGTACCCCCACATACAGCGTATCCATGTCAATTTATCCAGGGAGCTTGACATAGCGTATGCCTCAGCACTAAGCGTTGAACGTACCACTCTGCCTATTTGTTTAGAATGCCAAACAATGGGGGAGAATTCTGTAGTTTCATTGTTTCCTAGTTTAGGAGTACAAGCCATGATAAATAGACCTTGCTGTGCTGACAATTGCTTGGCTGAAGCAAAACTTGCATCCCCGAAACTTGCGAAGCATATTTCAGAGATCGGGATGGATCTTACGATCACTGAAGTTTCGGCATGGGTCTGAGCTTCTCGAAGAGTACGATTTCCTTCAAGCAGGGTTTCTACGGTCGCTTGATTAATGCCCCTTTGCAGTCCGGCAACGCGAGCTGCAATGTCTGGTCTAGAATGGACGGCTGCGTATTGTAAACTTCCACATAACCCTCGAAGTTGTTGCATTTCGTGTGGGGTTATTGGGCTTTCTGGCTGAGCCCTTCTAGTTTTTGGGACATCAATGGGACGTATTTTGTTGATATATTTTCCCTGGTTAACCTTGATGGAATGATCTGGGAGTTGCTCGATATCAAGACCCGTAAATTTGAAACTTCCATATTCCCGTGAACCGAACGGTAAGTTTTTCTCCAGTTGTTGAAGAGCCCTTTCAAACTGTTCATTACCCCCTCCGATACCATCGTCCACATGTGTTCCAAGTATCCCGTCAAGTTTTTGTGGATTATGGGAATTTCTGAGAAGGAAAAGGCAGTTATCCAAGGGGTGAGCTTCAAAACCTACCTGCTCTAACCTTTTGCGGAACTCTTTATAAAAAAGGAGAGGTGCATCCACACGACCGTATGCATTTCCTTTCAAGAGACAAACCTGGTTACTTGTCATTCCAAGGAGCTCTTTCAATTCCG